GGGTGTGTGTGTGCAGCAAGAAAGAAGCAGCTGTCTCATGCACGCAATGCACACATGCTCTCGTGAACCTCGCACAGCCTCTTAATTTGTTAATTAAATTAAATTTACGGGATGCAATAATGTGAAGTAGATCGACATGTTTTGTCAAACTGGTGGAAAGAAACAAGCTCCCCTCTTATTATCATTATTAATTATTATTACCTTCATATATTACCACTTTGTTTACTTCCTGAGCCGGTGTAATTTCCACTGCCTCACTGAGACGACCATCACATCCCTGCTCTTGTATATACACTTTATGATTTGACTCACATGCAGGGGTTCAATACATCCATATTGACTCAGGTAATTGAGCACATGGGACACGAGCTGGATTCATAAAACAGACAGAGAGACGTTTGAGTGAAAAGGTGGTTATTGGAGAAGCTCMTGGCCGTTTGATTGACGGGGTGTTTTGTTTTGAGAGAGCTGCGTCAGGCTGTCACTGACTGCAGTTCAGACAGAACCTCTGCAGCACAGAGGTCTCCCACCTGAGCAGGTTTTCTTCARAGCTGCTCCATTACCTTCGTCTGTGGAAGAGAAAAACCTTCTGAAACGGTCCGGCCCATCAGGAAAGCTTTTAAATAATACTATATATGAAGACATTTGTTTTATCAGTGCTGCTGAAATTAAATAAAAAAAAAAAACAGCATCTCTCCAAGCCCAATTTAAAACCACTGACCTTTGTTGGGAACATTTGCTGTATGATTCATTTACCAGAAGTTCACAGATGCCGACCAGGAGCCGTAGATCGAGCTCTGAAAAGAGATGTGTTTTATTGGCATTCTTTAAGGAGTCAACAAACTGTCTGGCGGACGGACGCAGATAGTGCCGGCCCACTTAGTTAACAGAGTCTGGGGACGGAGTTGGCCTGCACTGACCCGTGACTGCCATGGCTGACTGCTGGGTAATCTGTCAGCTTGTGAAGTCCCATTATCTCCAATCTCTTGTGCTGAGAACCTGTTTGGATTCTTGCTACTTTTTGGCTTGTGATATTTAGAAAATCTCCACAGAAATTTTCTGTTTTAGTTTTCCTTTTTTTCTGAAAATGTAAGAAAGACAGAAGTTGCCAAGAACACATAAGAGGAGACACGACAAAGCTTTGAACTCCATCTGTTTCTTGAGCAGCTGATGTATAAAAGCAGGAGCAGATTTAGCACAAACGCTACAAGGAGGCCATTACTCGTCATCTATCCATTGAGTGGAATATTACATCTTTCTAGGTGTGGACCTGTCAAAAGACAAGGGGTTAATGCGGTGCGGCGCTGCTTAAAGCACACTTTGCTCTTTTCAAATTTTGCCATTGTGCTTGGCGAGATCAAACGGGCCCTTTCAACATGCTGCTGTGTTCGACAAGCTTTCAAGTCTTACCTCATTACTGAAAAACTTTTCTTTGATTGAGCCGAGGTCTGAGAGGAGTCTGGACAGACAATGAGGGACTGGACGACTTTCACCAATCGCACAATGAGAACACAACAAAGATGTTGTCTCAAATCCCTCTCGAGGTGCCGGGCCCCCACGCTGTCCTGTGGCCTACAGGCCTGTAAATTACAGTAAGGCTGCTGAAAGTGGAGGATTTGTAACTCCTCCAATCAGACTCAGCTCACGACCAGGAAAGGCTAAATCCCTGAGATGAGATGAACTTTCGTCGATTTATTTCCGACAGTTGCTGTAAAGAAATGGTTTCAGGAAGGTGAAATTTAACTTTTAAATTTATAAAAGTGACAATGAAGCTTTCGAAAAAGTGGCAAAATGCAGATTTATTAGAAAAAAATACACTTTAAATAACATACAACACTTTTTCTCAGTAAGAAAATATTTTATTCGTGTAGGTTTTTTTTTGCCTTTTTTTTTTTTTACAATATTTCTAAAGGATTTCGTTCTTCTGTTTTAGTTTCAACAAAGGACTAATGTTTTCTGCCAGGAAGCCATTTTACCAATCTTTTTTTTCTTTCTTTTTTTTTTTTTGGGAAAAGATCAAACAAAACCTCGAGGAAATCCTTGAGCACACAAGCTTCTCCCTGACTGTGAGAATTTGGCTGCAGAAGTCAGAAAACCCAGACAGAAGTGATGTTTCCCTGATCTGCAGACGGTCCAAATGGAAACTAATTCTACCTTTTTTTTTTTCTGTAACCATTCATTCATGTCACACTTAGACACCAGCTGTGACTTTTTCCTTTCTTGTTCATTGACCTGCCTGTTTCTTTCCTTAACCTTCTGAACTTTATTTATCCTTTTGTGGACTGAAATTGTTTGCTTTGAAACATTTTTAGCATTTTTCCAGTGATGGCTGCTTTATTCGCATGGCTGTCAAACCTAATAGAGATAACAGAAATATTCTAAAAATACAACTGCTCATATGACCTGGCTCAAGCACAAAATTGAAAATGAACAGTCCCCCCTTTTATTTTGTGAATTTTCCACTCTGATCATTTCTTTCCTTTCTTGGAAGAGGCCTCCAGTAAAAGCAAAGCTTTTGTTCCCGTTATCGCCCACTGTTCATTTGTCTCGCAGCCGGAAAGCCGTGTTAAGATAACGCCATCCTATCATCTGATTGTCTTATCAAAGTTGAGCGACACAGCCCCCCCCCCCCCCCACCCCATCTCCCCTACAGTCAATCTGATGAAAAGGTTAAGAGCTTTCGACAGCTCTTCTCATAATTTGCCGCAACAATTTCAGACGTATTTATCATTATTACTCCGCTTTGAAGTGCAAGCCTCCCCGAAGCCCCAGTCCCGGTTAATTTCTTGCGGCCTCCTCCTCCTCAACGTTTCAAGTGCACGACTGTGCAACCTTTTTAACGCAGCGTTTGACACTGGGGTCAGCGGAATAGCCCCACTTGAACTAAAAGACATTTAGTCGAGTTTAGAAAGTGAAAACGTGGACACTATTAATTTGTTTGCTCTCCCACTAGTCATGGCCACAAGCAAATGCCAGCACCTCAAAGAAGTGCTCCTCACTTTTATTTGTTTGTTTCTTTGGAGAGTGTGAGAAGCTCCGAAGCCCCGACTGCAGCAGACACTGCGTTTGTGCAGGAGGTTTGGAGTGTGTGTGTGTGT